TCTCTCTCTCTCTCTCTCTCTCTCTCTCTCTCTCTCTCTCTCTCTCTCTCTTGTTTTTTAAGACAGGGTCTCTACCTAGCCCTCATTGCTCTAGAACTCACGGAGATCCACCACTTCTGCCTCCTGAGTACTGGGATTTAAGGCGTGGACCATCACTAAGTTTTCTCAGTCCACATTTTTATTTTGGCTAGTGAAAATATTATCACCATGAGTTAGGTCAAGCATGGGCTTTACCTGTGGTCCCTCTGGTACACTTAAGGAGCCAAAGGCGTTCATGTCAGAAACAAGGGTGCCTGCTTGTCACGTGTGTGCCCCGTCTTCCCTGGATTGATGAGAACTGCTAAAGGTGCAGGGTTTGCTGTCTGCACAATAAATCAGCCTGCTCCATCTGCGGGTCTGTCCTCCTCTTCCAGTCAGTCCACGGCCTGCAAATTCTTGCCTCCGTGTAAAGCTGGCAAAGTTCCTTAAGGTTTAATTCAGTAAGTTTTATTGCCCTTGAAGTTCAAGTCAATAAATACGGATTGGACTAAGCCATTCCATATCCAGTTACTGAGCTGAAAAGCCAAGAACAGCAGGCCCTGCCCTTGAAGAAACCCGTCTTTCCAGACACAGACAATGAACAGCGGTGCAGCAGCACACAGAAAGATGGACGGGAGCAGCAGGATGCAGACCAGAGTGCACACCTGCCTGTGGCCACCTCAACACTGGAGCAAACTGGGATGGAAAGAGACGAGTGGAGCATGATGGCACTGACCTGTAATCACAGCTACTCTAGAAGCTGAGGCAGGAGGATTGTATTCATGGCCTTCCTAGACTAGAGTGAGTTCAAGACCAGCCAGGGCAAATAGTGATAAAAGGTGAGAAGAGAATTGAGCATATAGCTCAGGGTTGGAGAGCTGGCCCAGCATGTCCATGAACTTGGGTTCAGGCTCCAATTCTGTAATACATACATATGTACATACATACATACAGTGCAGGAGAGTTAAGAATTCCCCCAAATGAATGACAGACAACCAAGTGCGGTTTATTTGTGTTTGCTCGTTTACTGAACTTCTTTGCTGGTCTGTGTCATGGCACATGTGTGGAGGTCAGAGGATAACGTGAGGGAGTTGGTTCTCGCCTTCCACCACGAGGGTTCTGGAGATTGAACTCAGGTTGTCCAACCGCTTGGTCATCTCACTAGCCTAAGTCTGGTCTCTCGATGGCTCATTTCCCAAATGCAGATACTTATTTGAACTGAAGGAGGATGATGAGGCCTGCAGGAAGGCTCAGCAGACCGGAGTGTTTTACCTCTTTCATGATCTGGCTCCTTTGCTGCGGCAGGCATCGGGACATCGATATCTGGTCCCTCGGCTTAGCCGAGCAGGTAAGGTCAAAGTTCACCAATGTAGTAGATGAGGCTTGGACCACTAAGTGAAATCCAGGTCACACTGAAGCTCCAAAAATACCCTTGCATTTTAAATGAGTTCTGATTTTCCAAACAGCTCTTGAGACTCAAGCTTACATACCATTTCTACTAACTAATAACTCATTGTATGAACTTGAATTGCTAGTTAGATGTTCTTGGTGGTGACAGGAACCATGAGTGCCTTCAACAGCGGTCCATGAAGCTGCTGTCCAAATGGGATGGGCCACTGCCCATTTTAAAAAGTGAAATTGTAACATAGCCACACTCATTCTTTCACACACTGTGTTCAGCTGCCTTTATGCTGCAATGGCAATTGAGTAGTCGTCGCAGACTGTATTATAAACTCTAAAATACTTGGTATCTCTTTACAGAGAAGGTTTTCTAGCCTTGCCTTGGGCTAGTGATTTCCAGCCTCAGGGAATTCCAATTTACATAGATCAAGATTTGCATCCTAATTTGATTTTGACTAGGTCAAAACTGAATGAAATTAATTTTGAGACCCCTTTTAGTACATGCAACTACAAATCTATATACTGCTGGATTGGGGGATTTTATTTTTGAGATTCAAGTGTGGATTGAAAATTTTTTTTGTTGTTTTTGGTTTTTTGAGACAGGGTTTCTCTGTGTAGCTTTGGAGCCTTTTCTGTAGCCCAGGCTGGCCTCAAACTCACAGACATCTGCTGCCTCTGCCTCCCCAGTGCTGGGATTAAAGGCGTGCGCCACCACCGCCACCCCCCTCCCAGGCTTGAAAATATTTTTTAAGACTCTGCCTGCAGGGGACAAGACTCAGTGGTAGAGTACTTGACCAACATACATGAGTGTCTTAGTTACTTTTCTGTTCCTGTGATGAAACAGCACAACCAAGGCAATTTGCAGAAGAAAGAGTGTATTCCGGGCTTTACCGTTTCAGACAGATGGGAGCATCATGGCAGGGAAGCATGGCACCGGAGCAGTAGCTGGGAGCTTTCATCTTGAAACCAGGGGGCAGAGAACACACTGGAGACAGCATGGGCTTTGGAAACCTCAGAGCCCTGCCCTACACCCTCCCATGCAGTAACACACCTGCTGCAACAAGGCCACACCTCCTCATCCTTCCCAAACAGAATTCCACCAACTGGGACCAAGGATCAAACATAGGCGCCTACAAGGGCCATTTTTACTCAGACCTCCACAATGAGGATCCTAGATTGAGTCCCAGTAGCAGGGGAAGAAAATCCTGCAGCCATTAGTTGAGAGTAAATACCACTAAATAAAATCTATGATATACTAAACATGGTCAGATGTTCATTGTCCTTATTCCTTAAATAACAGCATAAAACAGTTATGTACATAGTTGCATTGTTATTGTTATAGTACCAAGAGCTATTTAAAGTATTGACAAATACCACCTTATTTTATATAAGAGATTTGAGCAGACCCACATTTTGGTATGTAAGGGACATTCTTTAACAGACCCCAGCCGATCCTGAGGTAGCAACTGTGGACTCTAAGCAGAATTACTTCCGGTGGGTCTCACCTGGCTGTGTTGAGGGGACTAAAATCCATGTCTCACTTTTTTCTCTCCCTCTTCTCTTTTGTTATTTAGAGTTGGAAGGGCTGCTGGGTAAGTTTAGACAGGACTCACAAAGAATAGAAGACTCAGTGTTGATTGGATGCTCCAACCAGCATGAAGCGTGGTTTGCTTTGGATCTGGGTCTGAAGAGCACATCCTCCATCCACGGTGCGTACCCCTTTTCCTAATAGGTATCCCCCTGCTGCTCTCAGCCTTTAGGGTTTTGCATGATACCATTTCAAAGAAAATTTTACACATACAAAAACATTATCAGTTTTTCACTTTAAATAAGGATATAAAAACACTAAGGCCAGGCAGTGGTGACGCACGCCTTTAATCCCAGCACTCGGGAGGCAGAGGCAGGTGGATCTCTGTGAGTTTGAGGCCAGCCTGGTCTACAAAGCAAGTTCCAGCACAAAGCTACACAGAGAAACCCTGTCTTGGAAACAAAAAAACCCACTATTGTCACTGAAAAGAGAAAAAGGAAGCACGCGCTATGAGGCTTTAGATAGCCTGGAACTTGCTATATAGCCCAGACGGACCTCAGATTCAGGGCTTCTGCCTCAGCCTCCCATGTGCTGGGATAACAGGCATGCACTACCTCAGCTGGCTGAAAATCAAGGGGATTGTAATGATGTTTGTCCAAGTGGTGGGAACACACTTGCCTATGATATCATTCCCCACACATGTATGCACTTTATATCTTAACCATTTAATAAGTATTTTAAAATTCATGTCTTCAAAACTGAGTATGGCAGCATGGAATCCCAGTACGTGGGGGAGGCTGAGGCCAAAGAATTTGAGTTCTAGGCCAGCTTAGCCTACAGAGTGAGGGGTTTTTTCAGGGGGAAAACAGAGCAAAAGCTTGGCATGGTGGTATGTGCTAGTAATCTCAGTACTTGAGGAATTAAAGATCATCCTGTCTACAGAGTATGAGGCCAGCCTGGCTACACGACTTTCTGTCTCAAAAACAAAATCGTGGTATCATTTTTTCTAAGGATGTTTCCATGGAGTAGTTCTGGGTCCTCCACTGCAGAGTTGGTTTGGATCTCCATGGAGTAGTTCTGGGTCCTCCACTG